GGAAATGGTGGCGGCAGCAGTGCGAGGGTGCTTAAGCAAAGTTCCTTAACGTGGTGGTGGCGGTGGTGGTGGTGGCGGCGGTGGTGGCGGTGGTGGTGGTGGTGGAGGTGGTGGTGGTGGTGGTGGTGGTGGTACGTAGTGGTGGTACGTAGTGGTGGTATGTAGTGGTGGTATGTAGTGGTGGTATGTAGTGGTGGTATGTGGTGGTGGTATGTGGTGGTGGTATGTGGTGGTGGTGGTGGTGGTGGTGGCGGCGGCGGCGGCGGTGGTGCTGGTGGTGCTGGTGGTGCTGGTGGTGCTGGTGGTGCTGGTGGTGGTGGTTGTTGGCCTGAAGTGCGAACGCGGCCGTGAAAGGGGTTTCACTTTTCATACACGGGGTGTTTTTGGGCTGGCCGTGGTGAGAGGGTTGGGGGGTAGGGGGGCGTTGAAGGTAGTTTTCTTTTAAGCCTGGAGCTTCTACGGGCTGGGGGCGGACGGCCAGCAAGTACCACGGGGGAAGCATGAAGAGGACTTTCAAAAAGGACAACAAATCCATGACTCGTTGTCCGCAATAAAGCACTTTGTTTGGCAAACACGAAATCGTTTGAAATCGTGCTGAAGCGACAGTGAAACACAACATCGCACATGATCGCACATGTACATTTACTTGCAGGGCTTACAACAAACCTTGCGCGTGAATTTGTCCAACAAAGTGGCAACCCTCTCACGGCCGCGTTTGTGCAACATGCCTTGTTCTTGTTGATAATGTTGGTGATGATGGTGATGATGATGAAGCAACATCAGGTCATCAGCAGACCTGCCTTCTTTGGCGCTTCTTGTGTCGCATTGGCTGCAGGACCAATACAGTGACTCTGCGGCGACAGCTGCTCAGTCCCCAGCTGCCAGCGTCTCAGCTTTTCATGAAAACAGTCTGTCCAGAACCTTCGATCGTTTTGTCGGCTGGCGTGTGATATTTGACGTGCGCAGCATGTGTGCAAGAGACTTGTTCTCAAGCTCAGGCGGCTCTTCGGAGCATCTCGCTTGCGAGAAACCTGCGTCATGTGGCCGCGGCCTCTGTTCACGCGCGCTCTCTGGGTCCTGAGCATGCAAGGAAGTATGGGGGTTCAGGACGCAAGCACTCCCAAGTCTATCTGCTGCCCAAACTAATCTCAGAAATCCTGAGTCCTGAGTCATGGCAAATCTACACTCGCATGTTCCTTTCCTTGGTGACGTCCTGCTAATTGGTGGCCGTGGACTTGTCGCCTCGTTAACCAGCCTGACCTGCACTTTCACTTGCCACTTGAAGATTCGGCAGGTTGGCTACGTTTTTAAAGTGCACATGAGAAGTGAGCTGAGAAATCTGAATCTAGATTCGTATACGAATCCACAAGGACCACGCCAGGCATGCTTGATGGCAAGATCGATGAGGACGCAGCCAAGTGATTAAAGGCTTTATTGGTAGGGTAGGGCCTTGTGTTCTCACGCAAGCATGCAGTTACTCGGACTAGCTGGAAACATTCCTCAGACATCGCCTTAGATCTTCTCGACCAGGAGTGGTCACAGCATGATGACACTGACTTCGTCATGTTCCCGCCCTATGGAGTCACAGCCTTTGACTTCTTCCACACACGCTACATTGGCACATGTTCGAGTCTCAATTAGTGAAAATGCCTGACTATGACAATCTTAGTAGCTTGCACATGCATGCGAGGAAGTCGAAGTAGTGTGCAGATGAAATACAACCCTGCAAGCAGTTCGTAGCAGATCCTGGGTCAGATTCCTAGTTGCTCAATGCCATTCACGCAAAGCAAAATAGTTCTGTGATGCTGAGATCTGTCCGCTGGAGCTCCTCGGCACCTCCACCCTCCCTACCTGGACCATCATGCCAAATAGTCGCGGCCCCTATCCATTGTTGTGGCCTGCTCATGATCAGAAAGAAGAGGCTAGCCCGGACGGCTTTCATGATAGGCGTCTGCCGCAAAGCTTGCATGAAGTATGCTATCTGTGGTGTTTTGCATAGTAGAAGTCTGGGACAGGAACAATTCGCTTAAGCATGAAACAGGCCAAGTGCCCTGGCAATAGAGAATGAGCTCAGTCAGCCCTTGCACAGCTCTGTCACGAGCTGCCCCTTTGCAACTTGAGCTACGAGGCAACTGTCAGCAATCCGATTTATGCTACTCGTAGTAGTACATCCCTATCCCATCTCATGTCTGATATAGTCTAGCAGTTTAGCAACTTCAGGTCACATTGCTGTACAACAATCAGCAATTGCAGTAATGAGCGTAGTGGCACCAATGCAGTTGTGCTTTTTCACAGCCCCAGACTGTACATCCTCTTCCTGCTCCATGGTTGCCACGGGCCCAACTCCTGAAACCAGTTCCCACTTGAATGTCTAGGCAAGGCATATTGCTTCATTGTGACACCTAGCTCTTGCCCAATTTTATTAGTAGGATCTCAGCATATCTTCCTTACATGTGCTTGTTCAGCCTCGGCCTTGTTCTGTTTCCATTGAATGGATGACGCATGGTGCGAGCGTAATTATTTCGTCGCTGGCCACATTTGCCACAGCCCCAAGCCCATGCATGCTTCGTGCATTTCTAACTGAGGAACAGTTCGACCTCTCCCCGGCTTAACCCTGAAGTCATTGAACCTTGCTTCTGAAGCAACGCGGAAAGCATGGGAATTTCCGCTCGCATGCTTTCCTTAAACTTAACGCTACCCACTTCTTCTGCCCCAGGTCATCGCTTCCAACCCACGCACGCTTTGCAGGCCAAGAAGCCATGATCCAGCGTCCTTGATTCTCTTAAAGTAGTCATTGTGTTGGCTTTAGCTTGTCTCACCCTTGCGAGAAGGTGCGCATGTGGCGTGTGAAGCTGCTCCGCAAGGAGGAAGAAGCAGGCCCCAGATGCACCTATGCTTCAGTCGTGCAACAGACCAGCCATGGTTCAGCTCAGCCCCCTAGGTAGTGTCCCCCCTTCCTCTCCGTGGTCAGGGGCAAGATGGGGCTTCCACCACCCCTCTTGATGCTGCTGCCTCCCTGAAGCTTTGCTAAGCCCGCATACCAAAGCCTGAGCTCAGAATCTGATTTTTTCATGGAGTCCTGCATTTCGCCGAATATCAGAAGCCAGTTGAAGTGCGGATGCAAGGGAGTGCAGGAGGTGCCGGAACGCGACGCCTTAATTTCATGTAAAAACAATCTGCGCTTCAGAAAGCTCCGGTCGCAGAGACGGGAAGAGAAGCCGGGTTGAGGCTGGAATTTGAGATTTTGTGTTTAAAGCACGGGCCTACAACAAGGCAGCGGCAGAAGAGGTGTGGAACACGTGGCGCTTTTCTGCAGTTGCCCGTGCCCAACCTTGACTGAGTGGCATCAACAGCTTTGGCACTGGCAGCTGCTTGAACCTTTCTGTTGGCTCTTTGCATGACCGAATTTATGTGTCCTGGTGAATGTGCCTCTTTGCTACTAGTTACACTAGCTACTAGTCAGTGCAGGTCACAGCGAGGAGTGCTCCAATCGTTTCGCGGGTGCGTCGTTAGAGCCTCGAACTTGCTACAGCCATGATTCGCAGTGGCTTGGGACATTCGCAACATGGATCTCCTGAACACAGCACCAGTAGAATCTGGAGAGTACTGAACTTGAGCGTAATTTACTGGAGCACTGGACTGCCATCTGTTCAATACAGCTGCTGCATGACCATCAGCAGCTGCGTTTCCACACCTTTGGCAAGGTCAACCGTGGAGGCTCCATATGATGCCCTTCGCCTAGAGGACAGGGTGCCGGAGCCTCACGGCCTGAATTGTCATCCTTTGGCATGCGAGGAGCTGCAGCTGAGCTCTGTGACCTGTGATTGCTCGTCGCGGGGCAATGCCTTCTGCATCATCTTCCGCCAAGGGCCCGGCATTTACTACTGGCCGCAGGCACTTTCAGATTTCGAATTGGACCGATTGGGCCTACCCAAGCTCAGGAAGGTTGCTTAGGGGGCAGGTGGAGACACGGTATGTTCAACTCGGGCCAGATATAGCATTGCCTCGCATAGCATGCAAGACCAGGTCCGCAGGTGACTCGGATCTGCGAAGGAGATCAGTTCGAGGCCGCTGACAGGATCATCATGTGCGAAGGGTTGGCACGTATCATGCACAATAAACTCACAAGATGAGGCATGTAGATCTCAGGGACTGCAAACGGGATTGCGTCAAGATGAAGCCTGCTCTTGCTCTTGACGTTTCGCTGTGGCCGCGGCACCTTGGCATGAAGCAGAAGACATGCTCTGATCCCTCCAAACGGGGAGGCTTCAGACCTATGCCATGAAACCATGCTTGAGGTTTCATCACAAGCTTAAAGAATTTATGCAGCCCGTGTCAATCCTGCTTTGCTGGGTTGTGCTAGGTCAGCATACATGAACGCTCCTGCGACT